CTGTCAGGAGCAAAGGTTAAGACAGCTGGAATTGAATCAACCTGAGGGTGCAGTCGAAGAATGAAGAAGTGGTTGGACTGATACGCAAGGGTTGAACTGACAAGGGAGTTTTATGCAAAACTTTCAGAGTTCCAGAACTTGTAATAAATACTAGTAGTGGCTGTTTGCTGTTTTTCATTGTTTGCTGTTTCTTTGCTGTTTGCTGTTTTTCTGTTATTTCTGTTATGCAAAGGTACTGTTGGTGCACGTGCACGGAAGGGAATTGAACTTGTATAAATGGGAAGATGTAAAGGAAAATACTCAGGTTGTTGGATAATAAAAATCTTCCATTCTCCTTCCAATTACAACTGATATTCACAATTCTCTCTCAAATTTATCTTCATTCTCTGTCAACTTCTTCTCAAGTTCTCCAAAACTCTCAGTCATGGCCAGAGATGGGCTCAGAAAGATGAATCGGGGTTCAAGAACCTCACAAATGGTATCAGAGCAACAAGAAATCGAAGCTGGAGCTGATGATTTCTTGAACGATCAGGAAGAAGCTGATGCTGAAGAAGTTACTACCGATGAAAGATTCACTAGATTAGAGGATGCAGTCATGCAAATCAGTTCCTCTCGTCAGCAACAGGATGATAACATTCAGAAACTGTCAGCACAGATGGGTGAATTCTCTTCCAAAATGGAATTCATGATGCAGGAGATCAAGAATCTCAAGAACCCTGATCAAAGAGTTCTGGGCACTGGAACAAGAGGGAATAGGGATAATTCACTCTCAGCAGCTGGCGAATCTAGCAAGAGTGGCCATGGTACTGGATACCTTCCTCCACATCGAAGGGTTGCTGAATTCATGGGCGAATTTCCACCTGTTTACAGCTTTGGTAATTCCTCAACTCAAAGAAATTCTTTCTTTAGCAATCAAAAACTAGTCCAACCCAAGTCATTACGATTGGATTTCCCCTCTTTCTCTGGATCTGAGAATGTTATAGCTTGGCTAGAACAAACTGAGCAGATCTTTGAATATTATGAGATTAAAGAGGATGAATGGGTTAAGGTCTGTTCTTTCTACTTAAGGGATGAAGCTTTACAGTGGTATAGGTGGCTCACTAAGAATCTTGAAGATTATTATTACTGGGCTGTTTTTAAGGAAGAAATTATAACAAGATTTGGTCCTAGCGAACTCACGAGACCATATGATGCCTTCTCAACCATGAGACAGACTTCTACAGTCAGGGAGTACCTAGGAAAATTTGAACAAGCGTTAGGATTGTTAGATGATCAACCTTCTAAGAGACACATTCTTGAGAGGTTTATAGGGGGATTGAAAGATGAGTTGAGATATGATGTTTCAGCAGCTAGACCAACTTCTTTAAAAGGAGCTGTAGCCTTGGCAAAATTATTTGAGGACAAACAAAAAAATGAAAGGAAAAATAAGGGTCACTGGAGTTTTTCAAACTCAGAGGGTTCTTCAATGAACAAATCACAGAATCCTTCTCTTAAATCTTCAGATCCTCAAGCAGTCAAGCCCTTCCCCCAGTTTAAAAGAATGACCTCTGAAGAGATACAAAAAAAAAGAAGTCAAAACTTGTGTTTTACATGTGATGAAAAGTGGCACAGGGGTCATCAGTGCAAAGGAAAACAGTTGTTTATCTTAGAAGGAATTATGGGAAGTGAACTGGACAGAACTGAAGAGGCTTTTGGAGAGGAGGAAGAAGAAAATTCTAAAGTCATGGAGTTAGCTGAAAGCCTGGTCAGGGGGTCTCCCTCTATTTCAGTACAAGCATTGAATGGAATTACTGCCTCCCACACAATTAGGGTGGTAGGATATTACAAAAATCAGGCTATTAACATCTTAATAGATTCAGGATCTACACACAATTTCATCAATACCAAACTGGTTAAGAAGCTGGGTATAACTGTGACAGAATCAAGCAATTTTGAGGTCCTGGTAGCTAGTGGTGAACTAATTAAAGGAGGAGGAGTATGTCCAGGAGTATCTTTAGACTGCCAAGGGGTGAATATTCAGGTTGATCTATTGGTGATGCCTATGGGAGGAAGTCAAGTGGTCCTAGGAGCTGATTGGATGAGGACATTGGATGATATCACTCTGAACTTTAATAAGTTACAGGTGACATTTATGACTGAAGGGGTTAAGAAGACCTTGCAAGGGGTACTTCCAGATGATTTGCAGTTGGTTGACAGTAAGCAAATTGCAAAAACTCTCAGGGAACAAGAGCAGGGGTTCTTCATCCAATTGTGCAGTATGGGTCTACAAAGTTGCACAACAGAAGGTACACAGGGGGACTTACCTACAGAAGTGCAAGAACTGATTCAAGAATTTGGAGATGTATTTCAAGAGCTACCACATCTTCCACCTAGAAGAGACATTGATCACAGGATTCCACTGGAAGATGGCACCAAACCAATCTGTATCAGACCATACAGGCATGCACACTTTCTTAAAGATGAAATTGAGAAACAAGTGGAAGACATGCTTAACAAAGGGATCATTAGACCCAGCAACAGCCCTTTCTCTTCTCCAGTTGTAATGGTTAAAAAATCTGATGGGGGGTGGAGGATGTGTATTGATTACAGATCCCTTAATCAAGCTACTATCAAAGATAAATTTCCCATACCTGTCATAGATGAGCTTTTGGATGAATTACATGGGGCAAAATTCTTTACCAAGCTGGATTTAAAATCTGGATATCATCAAATTAGAATGCATGCAGCTGATATTCCAAAAACTGCCTTTAGAACCCATAGTGGACATTTTGAATTCCTGGTAATGCCATTTGGTCTCACTAATGCTCCTTCTACCTTTCAGGCCCTTATGAATTCTATCTTCAAAGATCTACTCAGGAAATCTATCCTTGTTTTCTTTGATGATATTTTGATATATAGTGCAAAGTGGCAGGACCATTTATTTCATCTAAAACAGGTGTTT